CATCTCATCCGCGGATTGTTTAGGTCGGGGGATATTTCGGTCAAATTCGTTCCGACAACGGAGCAACACGCGGACCTCCTAACCAAGGCCCTTAGCAGGGGTAGTCTGCAGTACCACCGGCGCAAGTTGATGAATTTGCCGGAGTAGCTGTAGCAGTTTCTAGCACTTGGGAGAGGCCATGTTTTCCATGCGGGGAAAGGCGCATAACTGTTGCGGTCTGTGTACCAATGGCAGGAGTAGGGGGCGTTGGGAGACCATCGTCCGGGGGAACGTAGTTCCTCGCGTTCTTGTCTTCGCCTTGGCCATTCTAATAAGTGCGGCCGTTGTGATCCGCTGTGATAGCGACGGCTTTTGTGGTGGTAGGGTTTTTTTCGACGGGTTTTGCCTGGACGCCGGGTTTCCCCTCCATATATTTCCATGTTGGTATTTTCTGATGTATCCAGGGGCGTTCTTGCCCCATTGATGATTAGTCGCTTGCGCGAAGAACCAGGGAGGGTGTTCGTGGGTCTGCGAACGTTGGTGTTGGATACATGTGCCGGATGATTGGTGTCACGCAGACTGGTAAGATTGCCGTTTGGTCGGGGGCACCGCGATGATTCACGGGGCCCCTCCTTGCTGTGGGAGCCGCTCTTTGAGCACTCCCTCTTTCGTCCGTGTGAAGTATCACCCGATAAATAAGTGGCGAAGGCCGCAAACAATCAACACGCGAAACGCCTTGTATTATTTTCGCTTTTCAAGGTCCGCTCCCTTCGTAACTTGAAGGGCGGTAGCTTCCACCAGCTGCAACTACACAACGCCCGTGAACGTATGGCGTAGGGTACAAGAGTACTTACCCAACGAGGGAAGCTTTGTTCAACGCTATCCCATCCTAGCAAGAACAGTCCATGAAAGTTGGAAGCGTGTTTGGGCCGGGTGGAGTCGGGAGGTGTAATGTTTACGCGCCAAGTGAGGCATGACGTCTTTGGTTCGCTCGTCTATTCTGTATCCCTGCTCATTGTGTGCCTGAAAGAAACCGTGCCCGTGGAACATTGATTTGTGCTGTTCAACCTGCATAGGCTGCCATGACAGAAGATGAGGCCAGGCGGCACAATGATGTGGCAGGGGCGAGGGTGGAGGCGGAGCGATTCCGGGTGAGCGTTAACTACACCTGTACAGATCGACTTCATACGTCGCGAGGGAAGGGAATGCTGTACTCTTCTCGCGATAAAAATATCTCAGGCAGGAACCGCAGGAGGGGGTTCAACACCCCCCTCCTGTGTGACCCCGGTTGGGTCACCTAGCTAGTAGAAGTGGAGGATAGGGGCCAGAGGGGCAGACGACAGAATCCAAGGATGGGAGAAAAAAAAAAATGTAGTAGTCTAGTCTACACCAAGAACCTCTACGCCTTTGGCTCATTGCTTCTCCATGTTGCGTGTTTCTTCGTCGAACCGCCGCTCTCAGCGTTCTTGCACACGGTTTTCAGAACATTGCTACATATTTCAAGACAAGCCAAACATCCCCTTTCAGGGGGTGAAAGATGTTAGCACACCGGCAGGAACGTTGGGGCTTCCTAGGCTCCCATTCGCCTCCATCCAGCGCAACTGTATGAGTCTAGTACAATTTTTTCTGAATGTGTGCGTGCTCCTCCATGATCCCGGGAAGCGTTCTCGGGGACATGTGTCATTTTGCTGGATTTGCCCGAGTCGCTTCATGGTTCTCCAATGTTCTTGTTGTAAGGCTCTTCGTTGCTCATTATCTCGTCGTTCACAACTTTGACCGCACAGACTGTAGCCGAGAGGCTTGCCGCCGAAAATCAGAGCATCCGTGAGGAACTTCACAAGTACCTCACATGTAATGAGAAGCAGCCGCCACTTGCAAGGTCGGGCGGCTTCAATCGCGACGGCGACCTGGGGATTTTTACACGGTCTCCTTTGAAGACTGGTGGTGGTGGCGGCGGCGGCGGCGGTGGTGGTGATCCAAGAGAACCTACCAGCGGCGAGGGCTGGCAAGGTGTTCTGCAAGCCCAGGTGATGGACGGGGCGCCCATCATGATGTGCAGACAACCGTGCGCGGTTTCATGGTGTCTCGCGGTCCATAGTCTACTCGGTTCAAGAGAGGAAGCACAGGGTTCAATGTAACCACGTTCGAGTTCTAGGATCACTTGAGCACGACAAGTACTACATAAGAACTCAAACCGTCCAAATAGCGACGTCAGTCGGTTTCTAGTCAAGGGATGCAATCATGACGGATTCCCTGCTACAGGAGTGCCAAAACTCTACGATGTCTTTTACCCCAGCCCGCCGCCTTCGATATGAAACCAATTTAGGTGCGTACGGCGGTGCAAGACGTTCGCAACCCCAACAGCACCCTACCCCGTCCCCAACCCGAGTCCCCTCCTTTCACCTCCCGCAGGTACTTGGGCAGGTTGAGGCACACATAAACGCACTTCGGGCACAGCTAAAGCATGAAACACCTGACCCGGATTCCATCACGGGCAATGGAGGCCCTAATCCTGGTGGCGGGGTGGGCCTGAGCTCGACCCCGTCGGGTGGTACTCGGATGCCTGGGCACTCGGTATCGACAGCGGGTGCGGCGGAAACTGTCGAAGTCCCACTACCCGTGGAAACCCGAGGCAATTACCATCATCCGCCGCCGACCCCCCGTGAACGTAGCGGCAATGAAGACGGGCTAACGGAACGAGAAGACATGCGTCTAAACCGTCTGTTGCGCTCGAGCAATTCCTCCGCGCTATCGTCACCGCCACCAACCCCGGGTGACGTGATGGCACCGACTAGCGCGCACCGGAGGGCGGAACAAAACGAACAGCGGAGCCTAACTACGGCAACGCCAGGCGGCCACAACAACGGCGCTTCGGGCGGAGAAGGATCAGCGAGGAGAGTGGGCGAAGGTGACGCCGAACATCAGGACCGCTATGCGATAGGAGGCGCCACGGATGGCGGCTTTAGTGACCTGTCCCGCGAGCTGTTCGCCGCCAGTCCTACGGATGGAACCGGGCGTTCCAGTGGTGACAAGCTGGCAGGACGATTGGGAGAGGCCAGGGACAACGGTGGCTACACAGCTACGCCTCGATTCGGGTCGTTGGCGGGTGACGTTGAGGACGACCTAGAAGATATTTCGGACGGCGGGTTTCACTCGGGATGTTGGAGGCGGAAGTACGTCCGCGGAGAAATGCGTTGAAGCACAGCTTGTAGCCATTGAAGTCGAAAGTGGTCGGAAGCGGTGGTTCTCTTTCCATGCCTTGGAGTGACGATATCATGAGCTCCCAGAACACTTTCTTCGTAGCGCACTACATCAAAACAAACCCTCTTCCCACCAAGACATGCCCCGCAAAAACTCCATCATGTCATCTGGCGGCTCGGCGTACACGTGGAAACCTTCTTCCACTAGGTCCTCTTGTGCCTCCCCATCAATACCACGAGGTCTACAACCTCTTGTGGAACTCTCTTTCTTCCCTACAGACGGTGAAATGGCCGCACTGATCTCAGCCAAGGTGGGAACGAAGGGTTCGGTTGATATTTCTTGGCGCGGGGCGGAGGCCGGGGGCGTTCTGGCTGAATCGAATTCCGAACGGGGTTTGGGGTACGGGTCACCGGTGTTAGAAGCTGCTTTCTCAGTTTCGACGGGACCCTGCACTTCCTCCGAGACAGAGCCAGATGCCCTAGCTTCCCTGCCATCGACCCCCGTGGTATTGCCGTGTCCATCCTCTCTTTTCCGACTAGGGCGTTCGCCTCTCTCCTGCCCAGCTCGGGCGTTGTGCCCCCTCTCTGATTTTCTTTTACTCCCGCAGTAGTCGTTCGTCATCGTGTCTTTGTCCGGCGACAAAATCCTTCCTGTTGCGCTTTTCAACGCCTGCGATCCCACGTCTGGCAATGTCGGTAGTGACAACCGGAGGCAGTGGAGCATCAATCGCCCGGCGGGTGCCGAGTTGCGGTGACCAGCCACCTCTCGGTTAAAGCGGCAGTCCCCATGCACAGAGTCGCCCACGATGGGATGGCTGAGCCCGTTCAGGTGCCTTCGGATTTGGTGAAATCTGAAAGGACACACGCGCAAAAATGCCGGAGGGGGGGAACCCTGGAACACATAAAATCTATTCGCTTCGATGTTGCCCGGGGCAGGTCAACTGGCGTCCACTGCTTGGTCATCCATGAGCGGGTGGTCACGATGGCATGGGAGAGACATGTCTTGCTGTTATGCGGTCGCTGTATTGCGCTGCACGAGAAACATTTTTCCGATGTTAGTCAATCGCACAACATGAAGAACGGCAAACGACGCAACATGAACGTTCACTCACCGTCCAGTGGAAGGCTGTGCAAGCACGAAACAGCACCTGGGATCAGGGTCGTTTCCGCCCCTCACGAAGAGAAAGCGTGTTGACGCCTCCCTCAAAATCTTCTTCTCATCCTTGATTGGCCTGTCCACCTGAACGTGTCGGCGGTCGTCAACACAGCGTTTAATTTACATAAGTCGCATTATTATCGATCACTGTCCATGCCTGCAAGCCTATAACCTACGCTACTATATAGGGAAAAAACGACCTGTACTTTGTATTTGGAGACCTCCATGGAGTGTTTCATGGAAAGGGCACATAAATCGGGCAATATCACGGAAGAAAAACTTACCGTGAACCACCCCTTGCCGACAAATGCGCTCCCGCTACCTCTCACGATCGCCAGATACGTCTTGCTGGAGTCGGGTTGGGCGAGCGTTTGATGGAGCACCTGTTGGTGCATGAACCATGAACACGCAGAATTGCCTCAATCCCTATCGAAAGCTCGCGACCTGGTCGGATAAACATGTGCGTGGCACTGGAAACATGGGATTTTACGTGCCCATTACAGTCACAAGCATCATCGTGGTCCTCGCCGACAAGCCTTAAGAAATGTTCTGAAAGTGGCTCGCCACGGAACAGGATCTCGTTCAAAAATTGCCCATCGCTGCTTGGGGCGTACCTTGGCCGCGTGGGAACTGAAGCCCACCAAAAGACATCCAGATGTGGCGCGGTCCAAACGATGCGGTAAAAAAACGCGGCGCCCTAGCTGGTCTCGAGCTTGCGGCCAAGTGTTCGTGATTACGCGGACGGGCACATGAGGCAGCCAAGAGAATTTCGTAACATAGTCTATAACCGTTCCATGCAAAAAAAAAACATCCAACAAGGAGCCAAAATCCTGCAAAAACCCTACTGCTTCGAAACGAAGCAAGCAATTGGCTGGGGCGCACGTCGCTTCAAGATCGAGCCGTCGGGTGGGGTTTTTTTATTTATGCATGTCATTTGTGTACTGTAGTGCAGTGTACACAGGCTTGGACGCACCCTTCTGCATCACGAAGTCGGGATCGCGAGAGCCAAACTCAGGGCGATGACAATGCATCCCTGGCGGCTTGGAGACCACGCTGCAGCCGTCGTAACAAGTAAGGGTTGGGGTCGGGGTCAGAGTTAGGGTAACGGGGGCGCGCGTACCTGTAACGGCATGCGCGCGGGCACCAAGAAATCAAGCCGTCACAATAACTCGTGCAGCAATAAAGTCGTCGTCTGGGCATGAAAAAGCAAACGGAGGAGGGGCGTAAGAAGGTGGAGGCACGGGGATGGGGCGGGGGTGGTTTTGATCGGACAAGGGTATTCGCTCTGCAGATAGTGTTAAAAAAGAATTCGTAGTACCAAGCAGATATCAGTGGGTGCACCACATGAGGCTGGTCGCCAAACATTGCACGCATCCGCGAGGGTTGTAAGACGTACGGCAGCCAAAACACAAGGAAGGCAGACAGACTTGAACCACAGGGCTTTGGCCACCAATTCTCCAGCAGCGTGAATTGGCACATACAACCACGTTCGCCACTTCGCCAGGGAAACGAGCCCTTGCCACCTCGGTCCCGTTCCCTCGACAGAAAAGACATGTCATGTACACACTATGCTCACGCGAAGTGCTCGTTTTGATGGAGGACCTCCAACGGAGGCGATTGCTGAGGGGGCTCCAAGGACGACCGCCTGTTGTTGCGTCCCGCTCTATTTTTCTCGCTGTTGCGTGCCTGCCGCCTATGAGACGAGCCCTCCGATAATTCATCCTCTGTCGCGGATGATGATGAAGAGTGGGCGGCAAAAGAACAGCCTCCCCGCGTTACGCGCCAGCCTTGTGGTTGCGGTGTCTGCGTCTTCTCCCAACAGCTATCCCCGTGCAACCGCGCAGCAGCACATAGTTGTGGCAACACGTCCATGTTGCACGGGATGAAGGCGGTCGAGGTGCCTCGCTCGAACACTGGCGATCGGTGGCGTTTCTGCTGAAGGCCCAGCGTACCACCCAGCACCAGTATCACCGGCAAAGCTCCGGCAGGCGACAGCAACATGACCACTGCGTTCCCTTGTTGCAGATCGCAGTCCTCTACTTCAAGCAGATCTGTAGCAGGTCAGTGTTGCTGCTGCTCTGTTGTTTGGGCACACCCACCAGACGACATACCATTGAATTTATTTGCTGTTGGGTGCGGTGGATCGTACGTCGCGACTTGGCCACAACCACGAGACCACGAAGGCTGCACACAACATGCACAAGACAAGTTCTTGCTTTGACGAACGCGACCCACCCACTGGCCAAGTTGCTAGTTGGTTGTGCCTGGAGGGCAATAGCAGTGCCGTTGTCGTTGTTGTTTGAAGCCAGGGTCCCTGCCAATGGTATCGAGCACGGTGGTGGTCGCCAAATCATCGCCTACACCCCCGGCCAAGGGAGCGCAGACACCAGCTGCTGCTGCCTCACCCAGCCGCTGACCGACCGGGCAGGGTCTGCTGTGCTTGTCGTGCCGCTGACCAGTGATCCCCTCCTACACACTCTCGTCCATAGCCGCTTCGTGGGGTGCTCGTGAAGGGAGCTCGGAGTCCTCCAGAGAAACTGCCACAAAAACATTGGAAGCGGTATCTCTTTCGCTGCTGGCGACCTATCTCATCAGCACGCCCTCCGACAAAGGGACCCCCATCAGGCGTTACGGGCTGCTGCTGGGCGAAAACGCCGGTGGATTTTCCTGAGCTGGAGCTTGGCGATTTGCGGTCCCGGGGAGGCAGCACCGAGTTTCCTGGGATAAGCAATTGCTGCTGGCCCATCAAAGTCTCACTTTGTGTCGGCGGCTCAAGTCTCTGCTGCTTCCGAGCGGGGAACGCGGCGCGGGTTCTTGCTGCCGCTTGGCGAAGGAAAGGGAAGGGGAAACTAGAGTTTTAGGGTCGGGATCAGCGGAATTGGGGCATAGTGATGTCAAGGATGGAGACCGGCATGGTGGAGTGGGTGAGCGTGCGTTCGGGTTTCGGCGTGAAGCGTTTGGCAGCTGCCGCACTGACTGCCATGTAGATTCGAAGTTGACTTTTCGTTCGCGAGGAGGCCCCTCTGGAAATTTCTCGTGCCGCGCGCGGGTTTGCCCCTGCAAGTGAGAATGATGTGGACACCGCCGTCCTGTTTCCGCAACGATACTACGTGGCAACGCCCCCTCCCCCCCCCCCCCCCCCCCCCCCCCCCCCCCCCCCCCCCCCCCNGATGTGGACACCGCCGTCCTGTTTCCGCAACGATACTACGTGGCAACGCCCCCTCCCCCCCCCCGCGCGCCCCCCCAACGTGCTGCTGCGTGAAGAAGCTGAATGGGTTGTTGATGCTCCTTCCTCGTCGGCGTGTGTAGGTCAAGCGTGTAGACGCGAACATGAAGTGTTTTGGCGACACCCAAAATTCTGCTGGCAGTCACACAAGAAAGCAACACACACGCACAAGTTGACACACAGCCGTATGCACACGCATGACGGGTAGCCTTTCCGCTAACCTCCTACGCATACCCACGCGTTTGGCGACTACGCAAAGGAATCATCGGCGTGTGTTTGCGGATAACCCCCCACTCATGCCTCGGGTTGAACTCGGCACGCCATAATCTTAGAATTCAAGTTGCACCATCGGCACATCAAACGGCGTCTGTGTGAAGCAGCAAACCGGTGACGTCTCCCTTACGACCCGACCCCCCTCCTTTTTGATGCGCAGTCCTGTCTACCGCCGTTGGGGGTGGGGTGGGCGTCTTGTACCACTGCGTACGCGACGCAGCCATTACAGTACAGCTTTTGTAGGGTGGCGACGGGTACAATGTGCAGCGTTCAGCAGGAACTTTGTCGGCGGGGGTTACCTCCCCCTTGCGCACATGCTACGCATTGCAAGGTTCAGTTTTTTTTTTTTTTTTTTTTTCGGTCGAATCACGACCCTATTTGTATCAACGAAAGCAACGCGAACGGCCAGCCCCATATCAACACAACCGACCAAGTGGCGTTGAGGAAATCCATGCTGCCGCCCTCTCCCTGTCTATTCCTTTCAACAAAGATTGTCGGAACAGATACCGCCTCCCGAACCTTTTTAGTTTACCCCTGTTCCAAACCGCACCTTCAGTCCCGGCTTCCGACGCCATTTGCGTTACATGGTTGAGCGTTGGTCGATACCGAAAGCAGAGCATCGTTAAAGCACCACATAGTTTCGTGCCGTAGTAGGTGGGAAAACGACGCAATACCAACCACTCCTCCGCGCCTGCTCGTGTAGTCCCCGCGCTTTCCCGGGGATTTGGATCCAATATTTCAGCAGTCTTCGGTCAGGAACTGGCGCGAGCATGACACGACATGGCCTTGTGTCAAAAACATTACCGGGGCTTCCCGTGCTTTCGAGCAGAACCTCTGTGTGCGATGCTTGTTTGTATTAATATTGGAACCCACGTCAAAGAATTCCACCCCCACTCGAGGCAGCTTTTTTGCTTTGGCCGATGTAACGAGCCTTCATTATGAGTACTCTCAACACGTACACCCCTCAAGCCCAATCTTTTGGGGTTCTCAAAAAATATATTGTTCTGACCTAGCCCGTGTCATGTTCGCCCTTGCTTGCATGCAGGTTAACACCTTCGACCTGTCATCGAGATGCTCGTCGCTGTCCGACCTAGCCGACGGTGTGGCGCTGTCGGAGGTCCTCCTGGGAATGTGAGAGCAAATAAATGACAGTGCAACATGTGCCGCCAATTGAGAACCTCTCACTTTCGCCGAGGCTTGTTTCGAAGTATGTTGCATTGTGTATAGGGTATAGGAGACTACCCCCACAGTGAGCGACTATTTAGGTTTTAGTTTGGGATCTTGACTGAGCACACATGTTGTTTCGGCCACGTTCTGAGATTTGGGATGTTTCAGGCGAGAGTTATTGTTGAATTATCTAGTCGTGGCGCGTTCTTCGTCAGATGCACAAAATGGCCGCCTTACTTGCTTGTTGAGCCGGTTGCCCACGGGGGGGACAACGTTGTAGTCGTTGCTGGTGCCTGATTTTGTTTATGTCGCCGGCGCCGGCAGGTGGGGTAAACGCCACTTCCCCCCTGTTCCCAGCTCCATACCCCCCTGGCAGGCCGGCAGGCGATGGCTTTGTTTTTTTCCATGAAAATCTCCTGAGTTTGATTTACGGTCTCTACGAAGGGGTTTCCTCAAAGAGCCGTCCACCTTGATGTGGTTACCCGTTCCGTGCAGAGGAGTTTGAGACTCGCGGAAGTCTTTAGTGCAAGCCTGCACCGAGTCATTAGACTACTCAACGCTGACTGTCGATTATTTTGTTTAGATTGCTACAGGCCCCGTGTCCAGCATGGAGAAAGTTCATGATTAGTCTGCCCTTAATCCTTATCCAAACCCGAACTCTTCACGCCCACCTTCCTCCCCCGACGGTACTGCTCGCCGTGCCCCCCCCCCCCCCCCCCCCCCCCCCCCCCCCCCCCCCCCCCCCCCCCCC